TTTATAAAAAAAAATAATTTAAACGAGAGAGTCTAATAATTAAATATATGTATTATTATTTTGTGCATTCCACAAAATAATAATAGATGGCTCTAAAATAAATTTGATTAGATTATTATAATTTACCAAACCAATATAAGAATATACACCATTGTTTAACGACTTACAAATTACACAAATTCAATTATCCTTATAATTAATTAATGGGTCAATTAAATATGATGTTAAACTTAATCAATGTTGGGAACTTGGGATAATAGGATTTGTCTCTTTCACAAATGGATTAATTTTATTAGTTGTAGTGGAGATAGTGTTTTATGAATTAATTCATCAATTTACCTAGTAAATTATGTTAAGGTTGAATTTAGTTATATTAATTTTGTGAAAAAATTAATTAATTAACAGGACTAACTAAGCATAAACCTCCACACAATTGAATAATTAACCAATTTACCTAATAAATTATGTTAAGATTAGATATAGATATAGATATAGATATAGATATATTTATTTTATGAATAATTAATTAATTAACAGGGTTGATTAAGCTTAATCGGCTAAGCTTTCATGCAATTAAATAAGTAATCAACTTACCTAGTAAATTCCGTTAAGATTGAATTTAGCTAGATTAATTTTATGAAAAATTAATTAATTAACAAGATTAACTAAGCCTAAGCTTTTATACAATTGAATAATTAATCAATTTACCTAATAAATTATGTTAAGATTAGATATAGATATATTTAATTATGTTCGAGGGGAAAATCCCTGTGGGGCGAATGTCCCCGCGAAACCCCATTCATCAAGCCGGGCTAGGACGAAAGTGGGAGTGATTCCATCCCCACGAGCCGGGGATGGTCATGAGAGGACATGGGAGTTGATGAGAGTGTAATTTATATATTTTTATTCCTTCCATATTATGTTTTTTGTTATGTTTTATGCCTATTTGAGTTGATTAGATTTTATTTTGTGAGTTATGGCATAGTTGGATAGATTTTAGGAAATAAGTGATAAAAGATTAGGAAATTCCAGATTTTTGTTATTCTAACCAGTGCAACGTTTTTCAGGTTTTTCACAGAGTCAGATTTCTCGATTACAAAAGTGTTCTTCAGAAAAATAAAGTTGACGAATCAAGCTTTCCAGGAAGGTATTATGAGTGAGAATCTGAGTTCGTTTGGGTCTTCATTAGTTGTTGCAAAACCAGACCTGGAATCCTACTCGCAGAAGGATTCCTGGCTGAGTATTGAATCTTCGAACGGGCCTAATTGGAGCGTCAAATATCGAAAGCGGGTGATTCAAAAGACCAGATTCATCTACACATCTGGGACTACAATTTTTATGAAGTGACCAAGCCCAGAAAAGATCTTTTACATTGCAAGAATCCTGGTGCAATCTGGAGACGAATTCTGTTTCCCATATCTGATAAGATTTTGACAAATCTGGAAGTCTATCTTTTAGGAAACGTCTAGGAAAGATTTTCCATGATTCCTGGGGTAGAATTAAGAGAAAAACATGTTATTTATTGAGGAGTGTGAGGTTAACCAGGGGGAGACGGCAGTGGAGTTTTGTTTTTCAGTTTTTTTTACTTTCTAGGTCAAGATGTGCGGCTGATCTTTTTTCGTCAGTTCAAGGGGATTTTGAAGCCTAAATTCATGTCATTGGTGTAACTTGACTTCAGTAACATTGTTCTTAATCTTTTTTTTATTGGAATCATTTATGTTATTCTGTTTTAATTGTTTATTATTCTTGTTTGGGTGATTTAGTTTTGGCCTGCTAAATTGTTTAATCGGAATTTTACCTGTTAGAATTAGGAATTGTGATACATAATTGTCTTTTTTCTATTCAAGGAGTAGCATATGATGATAGATGATTATGGACAAGTTTTCAATCTGTCATCTTGAATAAGATAACCTAAGTTAAATAATCCGAGCTTGCGAGATTGTTGCTTAGATTTATCTATTTTCCTAATTCTTAAGGCTACCATTGAATTAAACTTAGAGAGCTTATTCTAGGTTGTTCAAGGGTTGGGATCTACTTGGAGAGCTTATTTCAATAGTGACAATTAAGGGAAAATTCGGATAACAGAGGTTGTTGTTTCCTAGGGTCAGTAGTTCCATAATAACAAGATAGAATGGTGTTACGGTTAGTTCATGTCCAATGCATGTTTAGGTGGATCTTGAACCGAGAACTGGTTGCTTTTAACCTGATATTTTCTACCATTAGAGATTTCTTTGTTTTATTTAGTTTGCCTGGACTACAACCCCCTTTCATTACTGTTGTCATGTTTACTGTTTAGGATTTTATTTTATTTTTCTATTGTTTTCATTGTTGTAAAATATAGAAATTAATCGAATCATTCTCTGTGGGATCAACCCTTGCTTACCCTATATACAATTCAGTAGTTAGGTTAGTAAGGTTATTAATTTGGAGCATTCGGCACGCTACCAAATTTTGGCGCCGTTGCCGGGGAGTGTTATTTGTCGATTTTTTTTCTTATGTTCTACGTTCTTTTGTTATTTAATTTAATCAGTGCTTAGTTGTGGTTTTTATTTATTTTTTATTTTGTTCAATTGTAACTTTTAGGTTTTTGAAGGAAAAAAAAAATTTGAACAGTAGCACTATTCAACATGAACAGTAGTACTATTCAGCAATGTTCTGAAAACCAAACCGCCCGATCGGACCAGTTCGACCGGTAACCGGCGACAAATCTGGTCCGGTATATATAAAAAACCGCTATTCTGATTTAAACCGGAATGGACCTCGGAATAGTGCCGAATCGCGGTCCAATCGCAGCTAAACCCCGCTGGATTCCGACATATTTCGATGGAGAAAACACCCCCATTCGACGGACGGCATCTCCACGACCAAACCCATCCATTTTCAGTCGCCGTTGTCCAGCCTACGTCAATCACCGTCCATCTAAAGTTCACGCGACGTCAGATTTCTTTTGGTTATTCCGGCGAGTTCCGACGCCGATGGAACTCCCTAGCACCACCATCAGAGTCGTCGGCGCCTACACATCAAAAGTCCCAAGATTCTAGCTTTGATTGGCCGTCGATCGTCGCTGCCGCCACCACTCACCAGAATCTTCACGTGACAAGGGTGTTTTAGATAGATTTCAAACCTTAAAGGAGTATTATAGGGGTGTTTTTGATGAATTTCAAACCTTTAGGGACTGAAATATAATTTTACAAATTACGGTCCAACCGACCGATCCAACTGATCAAACCGAAAATCGGACCCTTGAACGGGTCATTGTCTGGTCCGATTTTCAGAACATTGCTATTCAGTACTATTCCTAAGAGAAATTTTGGTTGAATTAGGAGTGATGCGAGTACCTGTTTCGAAGAAAACGACATTCTGAGTAAGACTAGAAAGGCTTCTAGCCCCACCCTCTCGTCCTCAAATTCAATCATTTAATAGGGTTTTTGGCCAATTTTAGTTTCTGTCAAGAAAAAATTTTTGTTTTTTTTAATTTTTTTTATTATTAGTTTTTATTTATTTAGGCTTAATTTGGTGATTTTAGTGGTTTATGACTCGATCCAATTCTACAGGAGAGTTGGAATTTGATCCAGAAATCGAACGCAGTTTACGAAAGTTGTGAAAAGAGGCACGTCAAGCAAGTTCTTCACCTCCTGGTCTCAATATAGCCCTTGGTTCAGCATCCCACAGTTCATCCAGTGATCCAGATTCAGAAATAGAAGAAGAGATGGCCACTGGCAGAACATTAAAGGAGTTGGCTGCCCTGATTTTAATCAGCAGCCTTTGTGTATTCAGTACCCTACTTTAGATGTTGCTTTTGAACTTAAGTCTGGTATAATTCACTTGTTGCCTACGTTTCGTGGTCGTGCAGGTGAAGATCCGAATAAACATCTAAAAGAGTTCCATGTAGTCTGTTCAAGCATGAAATCGACTGGGGTGACAGAGGAGCATATTAAGTTGTGAGCTTTTCCCTTTTCATTGGGGGATGATGCAAAGGATTGGCTCTATTATCTACCATCAGAGACAGTCGCAACATGGAACGAGATAAAAAGGCTGTTTTTAGAAAGATAATTCCCAGCCTCCAGAGCTGCCACCATCAAGAAACAAATATGTGGTATAAGGCAATATAATGGGGAGACATTGTATGAATATTGGGAGCGATTCAAGAAGCTATGTGCAAGTTGTCCTCGCCACTAGATAAGTGATCAATTGTTAATCTAGTATCTCTATGAAGGATTGTTGCCTATGGAAAGAAACATGATAGATGCAGCAAGTGGAGGTGCGTAAGTGGATAAGACTCCTGAAGCTGCCAAACAATTAATCTCAAACATGGCTGCCAATTCCCAACAGTTTGGTACAAGACATGATGCACCACCCAAAAGGGTGAATGAGGTAAGTACATCTTCCATTGAACAACAATTATCTGATCTTACCTCTCTAGTTAGACAATTGGCTGTAGGGAATGCACAACAAGTAAAAGCTTGAGAGATATGTTTGACAATGGGACACCAAACGGACATGTGCCCAACACTTCAAGAGGAAGGGACTGAGCAAGTCAATGCAGTAGGAAACTTTCCTGGACCACCAAGGCAGCATGATCCTTACTCTAACACATACAATCCAGGTTGAAGGGATCATCCGAATTTCAGTTATGGAGGAAATAGACAAGTAGGAGGTGGACAGAATTTCTTCCAGAATAGACAACAACAAGGGTTTCAACCGAAGCAACCTGGCTCACAAAGTTCAAACTCATCCCTGGAAGATATAGTGAAGTCCCTTGCTTTGAATACCAAACAGTTTCAACAAGATACAAGATCTAGTATTCAAAGTATGGAGAATCAGATGGGTCAAATGGCAACTGTTATAAGTCGTTTAGAGGCTCAAGTGGGAGGGAAATTTCCTTCTCAAACAGTGGTGAACCCAAAGGAAAATGTGAATGCAGTGATGCTAAGAAGTGGCAAGAAAGTGGAAGAACCAAAGCTGAACATTCCAAGTAGCAAAGAAAGAAGAAATTGAAGATGAAATTGAGAAAGAAGAGGCTACAACTGAATCAAAGGTAATTCCTAACCCTTTAATTCAACTTCAATCTAATACTTTACCTTTTCCTAGCAGATTTGCGAAGTCAAAGAAAGAAGAGAAGGATAAAGAAATTTTGGAGATGTTTCGCAAGGTGGAAATGAATATACCTCTATTGGATGCAATTAAGCAAGTGCCAAGGTATGCAAAATTTCTTAAGGAACTATGCACCAACAAGCAGAAGTTGCACAGTGATGAGAAGATAATAATGGGAGAAAATGTGTCAGCTGTTTTCCAAAGAAAACTTCCTCCCAAGTGCAAGGATCTAGGTATGTTTACAATTCCTTGTAAGATAAGTAACACCAGAATTGAGAGAGCTATTTTAGATTTATGAGCTTCGATTAATGTTATGCCAAGATCTATTTATGCTTCATTAAATCTTGGTCCTGTGAAAGATACTGGTGTTATTATCCAATTGGCTGATCGCACTAATGCATACCCTGAAGGGGTAGTTGAAGATGTTCTTGTGCAGTGTAATAGCCGCTTTCTACTCAAATACTCATAAAACATGTACATAATGAAATACATATAAACTAGCATAAAAAGTTTGGGCCCAAATTTTTCTTTTATTAAACATATACATTCTTTATACAAAACATTGTATCATGTACAAAAGCATCAAAAACAAGGTGGACAGTGTAGCCATTTCCCTTCGCTCGCCGACGCCCATCCGACTGTGTCCTCACCTAGATCCTGCAAAAACATGGAAAACAACGGGGTGAGCACAACTAATGCTCAGTAAGTAAATCCTCTACTGGGTTTATTTCACTTAACCCTTTTTAGCTCATATTATAACCTTCTCTTCCCATTTTGCCCTTGTTCTTTCTTGGAAATTCCATCTATATTCTTTGATTCATTTCACTCACACCCCCATACTAACCTACTCTCCATGAAATTTCCTTACATTTTACTCCCCACTTTTCCTACCGGTAGAAATATCATTTTTACCCCTATGAAGAATTCTCTAGAAACTCATTAAACTTTTGAACTGGCTCATCGCTGCGGCGAAGAAACTTCTGTCACCCAGGCAAAAAGTTATAGAGTCGACACCGCCTTACTCAAAGCTAACGTCGCCGTGGTGAAGACTATTCTTCGCCCCAGTGAAGACTGCAATTCTAAGAATCCTCAAAACTCAACCAATTTCAACATACAAACTCAATTAAAACCGAATCAATGAACATTTAAGCAATACAGCAAATCTTAACTACCAGGTCAATGAGTTAGTGTTTCCGGCTGATTTTTACATTCTGGATATGGATGATTCTTCGTCTCCTGACCCTGCACCTATCGTACTGGGAAGACCATTCCTAAATACAGCTCGAACAAAAATAGATGTTCATGATGGTACCCTCATGATGGAATTTGATGGTGAAGTAATTCGTTTTAATATTTTTTATGCCATGAAATATCCAACTGATGTTCAGTCTATTTTTGCTATTGATGTTGTTGATCCTATTGATTCCATAGTGCAAGAGATTTTTGAGTTAAATAATGCAGATGAATTAGAGGTTACCCTTCTCAAACATGTGGAATCAGAGGAGAAAGGAGAGATAGAGCTCAGTGAAGAATTGAAGGAAATAGTGGCAGCTTTACATTCTTTAAAATCGAGTCTAGAAAGGTATGGAGTTTCTTTTATAAAGCTGCCTGATTCTCACCAGAAATTATTGCCTTCTGTTTTGCAGGCCCCTACACTGGAGTTGAAGCCATTACCAGGTCATTTGAAGTATGTGTACTTGGGAGAGAATGAGACACTGCCGGTAATTGTGTCAAACAAGTTAACACCCAATCAAGAAGAGAAACTAGTTTGAATGTTGCGAGAGGATAAGGAAGCGATTGGTTGGACCATAGCTGACATTAAGGAGATTAGTCCTTCCATATGCATGCATCGGATTTTGCTTGAAGAAGGTGCCAAACCGACACGGGAAGCGCAACGCAAATTAAATACCCCAATGATGGATGTGGTGAAAAAAGAAGTCCTAAAGCTTTTAGATGCTGGGGTAATTTATCCGATTTCCAACAGTAAGTGGGTAAGTCCAGTGCAAGTTATCCCTAAGAAATCTGGTGTTACAGTGGTGAAAAATCAAGACAATGAGTTGGTCCCTACACGTGTTCAGACAAGCTGGCGTGTGTGCATTGATTACAGAAAGTTGAACTCAACAACTTGAAAGATCATTTTCCACTTCCCTTTATTGATCAAATGCTTGAGAGGTTAGCTGGTCATTTTTATTACTATTTTCTTGATGGATTTTCAGGGTATAACCAGATTGTCATAGCACCGGAGGATCAAGAGAAGACGACATTCACATGTCCATTTGGCACCTTCGCCTATCGCCGAATGTCGTTTGGTCTCTGCAATGCTCTAGCCACATTCCAACGATGTATGGTAAGTATTTTTTCAGAATATGTTAAGTCAATTATAGAGGTGTTTATAGATGATTTTAGTGTTTTTGGTTATTCATTTGATCAATGCTTGCATAACCTTACACTAATTCTAGACAGATGCATGGAAACTAACCTTGTACTTAACTGGAAAAGAATGTCATTTTATGGTAGAGCAAGGTATAGTTTTGGGGCATATTGTTTCATCCAAGGGAATAGAGATTGGTAAGTCTAAGATAGATTTGGTTACAGCTTTACCTTACCCTGCCAGCATGCGGGAAGTTCGATCTTTTCTTGGCCATGCAGGTTTCTATCGGAGATTTCAAAGACTTTCAAAAATCGCATTGCCGCTATGCAGATTGTTACAAAAAGATGTGGATTTTCAGTTTGATGAGAAGTGCAAGAAGGCATTTGACAAGTTGAAGACATTGTTGACGACAGCACCAGTGATACAACCATCTAATTGGGAGCTACCTTTCGAAATTATGTGTGATGCGAGCAACTACGCATTAGGTGCTGTCTTGGGTCAAAGAGTTGGCAGAGCATGTCATGCCATTTATTATGCATCCAGGACCTTGAATGGCGCCCAACTCAATTATTCTATGACTGAAAAAGAACTTTAATCCATTGTTTTTGCTTTAGAAAATTTTCGATCATATTTGTTAGGTGCTAAAGTCATTGTCTTTTCTGATCATACAGCTCTTAGGTACTTGCTCACAAAGAATGAGGCAAAACCAAGGCTAATTAGATGGATTCTTCTATCCAGGAATTTGATTTGCAGATTAAAGATAAAAAGGGAGTAGAGAATGTTGTAGCAGATTACCTTAGCCGTTTGGTTCGTGACAGTGATGAGCTTCCTTTGCGAGAAACATTTCCGGATGAGCAATTGTTTTCCATTGAAATGGCGTCACCATGGTATGCAGATATTGTCAATTTTTTAGTTACTAACATGTTGCCAAATGATTTGACTAGAGCTCAAAAGGACAAGATCAAGAGTGATGCTAAGTATTATGCTTGGGACGATCCATATCTGTGGAAGCATTATGCTGACCAAGTGATAAAAATGTGCGTATCTAAACATGAATTTATTCCTATTTTAACTTTCTGTCATACCTGTGCATGTGGAGGACATTTTGGGCCATAGAGGACAGCTCGTAAGGTATTAGAATATGGTTTTTATTGGCCATCATTGTTCAAGGATGCCTACATGTTCTGTAAGTCATGTGATGATTGCCAAAAAGTTGGAAACATTTCTCGTAGAGATCAAATGCCACAATCTCCTATATTTATTGTTGAAATTTTTGATGTTTGGGGCATTGATTTTATGGGTCCATTTCCTGTTTCCTTTGGTAATGTTTATATTCTATTAGCTGTTGATTATGTTTCCAAATGGGTGGAGGCGAAAGCCACCAGAACTGACACTTCAAAGGTTGTTGCAGATTTTGTTAAAACTAACATTTTTTGTCTGGTTTGGGATACCAAGGGCCATAATCATGATAAGGGCTGTCATTTTGCAACAGGACAATGGAGGCATTCTTAAGAAATACCATGTCACACACAGGTCTCCACATTGTACCACCCACAACCAATGGCCAAGCGGAGGTGTCAAATAGAGAAATCAAGTCAATTTTGGAAAAGACAGTGAACCAAACAGGAAGGATTGGTCTTTGAGATTAGATGATGCATTATGGGCATACAGAACAGCATATAAGACACCTATTGGCATGTCCCCATACAGATTAGTGTTCGGTAAGCCCTGTCATCTTCCAGTAGAATTAGAGCACAAGGCTTATTGGGCAACAAGCATTGCAATATGGAGATGAAGGAAGCTGGCGTTAATAGGAGTTGTAATTGCAGAACTTGAGGATTGAGGAATGATGCCTACGAGAGTTCACACATCTACAGCAAGACTAAAGCCTTTCATGACAAGATGATCTCAAGGAAGCATTTTTTTGGACAGAAAGTCCTTCTTTCATTCAGCTGAATTATTTCCGAGTAAGTTACGTTCTCGTTGGGTGGACCTTTTATTGTGACTAATGTTTTTCATCATGGTGCAGTAGAAATCCAAAGTTTGCAACAAACAAGGTGTTTAAGGTCAATGGACATAGGCTTAAACCTTACTATGAAGGGTTCCAAGTTTGCAATATTGAGGAGGTGGGATTGGAGAGTCGATACATGAGTAGTGAAGACGATGCAAGAGTTGGGCTAACGACTTTAACCAAAGGCGCTGCTTGGAAGCACCCAAGAATTCAGATTTGATTTTCTTTTCCTTTGAATTAGTTTTTTTTTTTTTTTTTTTTTTTTTGCCAAATTTTTTTTGCTTTATTTACTGTCTCTGCATTTGGGTCTTACATTGGGGACAATGTAAGTTTTAAGTGTGGGGAGAAGTTAGGCTTAGGTGTGTTTTTATTTTCTGTTTTTATTTTTAGGCTTAGATGTGTGTTCTTTCTATTTTGTTTAGGCTGCGTGTTATATTCTTTTTTTTTTTTTTTTTTGGGTAGTTTATGTTAAAAGAAAAAGAAAAAAAATTTTTGTTTTAAGAAGGTTTATGCTTTAGTCATGTCTTTGAACGCTATGGTCATGAAATAGTAACTTGACTTTGTTATTGAACATATTCCTTTTAGATGTTACAATATTTCATAAAAAAGAGTTAATCATATTGAATCTTTGTAGTTTGAAACATATGTCTGAGAAGTTGTGTGAACTTGGTGACAAAGCATGACTGAGGAGTGTATAATAACCCTTAAAAGAAAAAAAAAAAGAACAATTTTTTCTCTTAAGCTAGTCCTAAATTTGGGTTTAAGCAAATAGAAAAAAAAAAAAAAAAGGTATGTGATGAGTCAAGATGGAGCGTAAAACGAACTCACTCATAAACACAACCATGAAATGAGATGGAGCATAAAATGCACTCATTTTTTTCAAACAGAAAAAAAAAAAGAACAGAAAAAAAATTTCTAGCTTGCTACCCAGTTGTAGTTAAAGAGAAACAATTGAGGAAAAGTTGAGAGGGGAGTACTACATGAATTGGTTGTGATTAGTTTCCTTGTTTGCATTGTGATTGAGAGTAATTGTGGAAAATAATGAAGAGAGATGAATGTCCTTAACTTTATTTTTATTTATTGTTGCTTCCTAAGTTAGGTATGAATATGCTGGATTAAATATTGTTGCTTATGCATCATGATGGTGTCTTGATATGACTTGAATGTAGATTGTTTTAGTTGTGAATTAGTTTGCCCGAGGACGTGCAAAGCTAAGTGTGGGGGGATTTGATAAGAGTGTAATTTATATATTTTTATTCCTTCCATATTATGTTTTTTTTGTTATGTTTTTGTTATTTGAGTTTATTAGAGTTTATTTTGTGAGTTTGGCATAGTTTGATAGACTTTAGGAAATAAGTGATAAAGATTAGGAAATTCCAGATTTTTGTTTTCTGACCAGTGCTATGTTTTCAGGTTTTTCATAGAATTATATTTCTCGATTGCAAAAGTGTTCTTCATAAAAGTAGTTGACGAATCAAGCTTTCCAGGAAGATATTATGGGTGAGAATCCGAGTTCGTTTGGGTTTTCATTAGTTGTTGCAAAACCGGACCTGGAATCCTCCTCGCAGAAGGATTCCTGGCTGAGTATTGAATCTTCGAATGGGCCTAACTGGAGCGTCAGATATCGAAAGTGGGTGATTCAAAAGCCCAGATTCATCTACCATCCGGGACTACAATTTTTATGAAGTGACTGAGCCCAGAAAAGATCTTTTACATTGCAAGAATCCTGGTGCAATCTGGAGACGAATTTTGTTTCCCATATCTGATAGATTTTGACAAATCTGAAGTCTATCTTTTAGGAAACATCTAGGAAAGATTTTCCATGATTCTTGGGATAAATTAAGAGAAACACATGTTATTTATTGAGGAGTGTGAGGTTAATAGGGGAGACAGCAGTGGATTTCTGTTTTTCAGTTTTTTTTACTTTCTAGGTCAAGATTGTGGCTGATCTTTCTTCGTCAGTTCAGGGGGATTTTGAAGCCTAAATTCATGTCATTGGTGTAACTGACTTCAGTAACATTGTTTTTAATCTTATTTTTATTGAATTGTTTATATTATTCTGTTTTAATTATTTTATTCTTGTTTGAGTGATTTAATTTTGGCCTGCTAAATTGTTTATCAGAATTTTACCGTGTAGATTAGGAATTGTGATACGTAATTGTCTTTTTTCTATTCAAGGAGTAGCATATGATGTATGATGATTATGGACAGTTTTCAATCTGTCATCTTGAATAACATACCTAAGTTAAATAATCCAAGCTTGTGAGATTGTTGCTTGATTTATCTATTTTCCTAATTCTTAAGGCTACCATTGAATTAAACTTAGAGAGCTTATTCTAGGTTGTTCAAGGGTTGGGATCTACTTGGAGAGCCTATTTCAGTAGTGACAA